ACTCAGTTTTGATATAAGAATTTTTTGCAAGATTGATTCATTCTTTGCAGGTTAACACTAAATTTAGCAATATATTAACATATTTAAATATTATAATTTTAATTTTAATTTCAAGATTGAGAAGTTAAATTCTTTAAATAAGAAGTAATTTTTGATACTTTATTATTATTATTTGTACATTAAATATTATTTATTTGTAGATAAATTACTGAATGATGAAATAAAAGTATAAGAGTTATAAGATCCTAACAAATTTATAAAAAAAAGGATCAAATGATTATAATGTCAAAGGAAAATCAGGTTCTGAGAATTTTTTTGACTGAATAGAAAATAGAATCTTATTACATTTTAATATAATAATATTAAAGTCAAAATTTTTTTAAAAATTTCAAACATCTCATATACTACTGTATAAGAATTTTATTTGTATTACGATTTCTAAAAAAAATTGATTTTCTAATAAGGAGAATTCACTGTTTCATTCTATGATAAAGGAGTTCTGAACATAAAAAATATTGAAATTTCCTTACTTTTTAAGTTAAACCTTATTTTATGATGATTTTAGGCTCTTTCTGATTAGAAGGGTTAGGAGTTAAAGAATTTTGCTTTGTTTTTTCACTTTGCAGTTTTCTTTATTTTATGATTAGAACTGGTGATAGTTTTCAGTATACTTAAAAAGATGATTATCTAATGTAAGTTTTTACACATCTCCTAGTATTCTTGCACTTGATAACATCATGATATGTTTTTCAGATAATCTCGCTTATCATCATTTTTATTGGTCTCTATTTTAGTATTATTTAAATCATCATAAAAGGATTTAACAGATAAACCTTCTGAGCTTGTTATTTACAAGTTATATGTGCACTTATATTTACTACCAAGAACAAGAAGTTGATATCAAAAGTTATATTAGGAAAGTAAAAAAACCTTATTACTATTATTTTAGTACAAACATTATGAAATTTTGCTTCGTATCATAATGAATTTTTCTTCCGTTTTACAAAATGTTTGATACTAAAAATTTTGCTATACAAGAGCGACTGCATAGGTAAACCTTTTATTATGTAATTTTTAAAAAGTCAAACGAAATTTTAAATGCGCACGTTTACTGCGCCTAAAGTCAGGTTACAAAAAACAAAAATTCATACACAACTCTTTATATCTAAAGCAACATTAATATTTATAAACATGAGAAAATAAAATGAATTAAAAATAAAAATTCTTTTAACAAATTTAAAAAGTCGATTTTCATTAATTGAGATAAATTCTCAACCAACATTGATTGCATCGAGTCTGAAACTATATATATCATTAGAAAGATTTTGATTAATCATTTTTCCTGCTCTTCTAACACAAAAGTAGCCGGTTAAAGGTAACCATTTAAAAAAAATCGAAATAAAGATCAAAATTTTACTTTTCCAATTTGTTTCGTCTATTGATTCTATCAATTGAAGCCGTCTTTTTTCTATCCACATTAAAGATCATAATAAAAGTTACAGCAAAAACAATAATTGCACTAATTAGTAATATATTTATTGTATTAGGAATAGCAGCTAGCGTTAAACACCAAAATTTCGTTGATCCTAGAGAAGGGATTTATAGAACGATAATAATTAAGATAAAGATATATGGATTAAGATATATGGATTGAGATAAATGAATCATCATGTGAATTAATTTAGTAAAGCTTACCAATCAAATTTTCCATGTCAAAGGTTTGGCTTCTTACAACGCTCTAAATACCGCGGGTTAATAAAATAATTTTTTTGCACATCTATAAAAAAATACATTACAAAATTTGCTTACCAAAATAAGTGAAAATTGCAATACCGGCCATTAAAATCATATTTTGAAGAAAGAAAAGGTATGCTAGAAATTTACAAGATGTTTCAGGAAAAACCTTATGATAATCAACGAGTAAAAAAAAGTTTTTCATGAAAACAATATAAGAGAAATTAGCTTTGTTACTAATATAAATTTATTAATCTTATAATTTATAATTACATTGGAATATGTCTGGAATACTGATATATAGAGGAACTCGACTTGACATTGATAGAGAACTTGTCGTATATGCAGAGTAGATCTACAAAAAAATCATGCTTCGTTTTCGTTACATTTATTACCACGAATTAACATGGTTTATAATAATAACATACCACAAGAGAGTTGGCTATAAAATCTATATGACCGAAATCTATGATAACACTTTTCAATGGTGCCAGTATGCTGGTATCATTAATTGCTTGATTCATTATACTCGTGATGAATGAAAAATTTGTACATAATATAATTGTAAAATGCGGAAATAAGTTGTAATCTAAAAACAAGATAGATACAACGTGAATATGATTATATTAACAAGTCAAGTTTCGGTATAATATGCGAATTTTTGCATCCAAACCCGATCGTAGAAACAAAAAGAAAAATTCAGGGAAAAGATACAAAATGGCGAGTATTTATTTTCATACATCATTGATTTTGATCTCAATAAAGGAGTGTTTTAAATTAGATTTGTTCTATCTATGCGAGTCAAATTAGTTTAAATGCTAAACATTTTAAATCATATAATATTTAGTAAAATCCAAACGGAAAAATTTTCAGAAATTTCATTAAACAAGCCCTGAGTAAAAAGTTCTCGGCCCGCTGATAATAATAGAATGTTTCATACTATATATAACATAACATGTGTTAAAGTAGCATCACTAAAACCAATGGACCCATAAATCGGCACTTTTTTGTTTGTTGTGGCTTTTTTGATTATTGAAAAGTGTGGCGTTTTTGATTAATGATGTTGATCGAAAATTACTAATTCGAAAATATCACATATGCAATGATATTATATCAATGCTTAAAATTTTTTCGCAAAGAAATTATATTTTTACCAAAAAAATAAAATATTAACGTTAATTCTCCAAATCAACCATAATTTAACTATTTAATCATTATAATCTTCATCATTTATGCGCCAAAATCCATACTTCAGTCAAAATAACTCTTGCATGTTCTAAAGTTAAATTCACGATATATTTGGAGGGTGTGATGCGGTATGACAGATTATTTATAAAAATCACGCCCGATGTGCTCTTAACAACGCGTCAATTTTCAATAACAAAAAGTCCGTTGTTTACACTGCAGTCCTAAAATTTTTATAAATTTAACGTCCTCGGGTGTTAAAAACTTAAAACAATGTTTCGGGCGTAATTTCTTGAGGATAGCGTCTCCTGGGAGTTATTTTACTTGAAATAAACTAGGAGTTTTTCTTGAAAATATACCACCGAATTAATTTCTTGAAAGAACGTCGTCGGATGTTATTTTTCTTGTAAAACGTTTACCAGACGTTATTTTTGAAAAGCAAAGTTCACAGTGATTTATTTTTCTAGAAAATATCGTTTCGGGCGTCAAATTCTTGTCGCCGAACGTTTTTTTCTTGAAAATAATTTCCAGAGACGTTAAATAGACGTCATTTTCAAGATTAATGTACTCCGACGTTAAATTCGCAAAATGCCGCAATAAAAAAAAAAATTTAATTTCGTAATAATAAATAAAACATAACTCTTTCTATAGAACCCATTATTATTATATTTTGTAAAAATTTTCCTTAATTGGATGGAAATACATTGAATTCCGTTATTAAGATCAAAATTTTATTTTTGAAAGTAACGTAATAAACTATATTTTTTTGTGTAAATAAATATGATTAAAAATCAATACCACCAAAAAGCTTGATTATGTTTTATAATAATAAGCTAGATAAATCTTTGTTCTATTTTGTTATAAATTAGACGTGCTCATAAACGCAGCAAATATCAAAATATCATTGAGTTTATTATATGTATATAACTATAATAAGGTTTTTACATTTTGACGCATGTGAAAATATTTTGACTTTATACCATTGTTCCTTAGTTACGAACTTGAAAAACCCACTGTTAGAAAATAGTCCGAATCTGTATGTAGTTTAAAGATTAGTATAATTAATCTTTTATAGAATTTAATAATTTTTTTTTTAATTACATCCTTAATAATATTACTAAAATAAAAAATAAATATACATTATCGAACATTTCTTTAAAATAATGATACATTTTTAATCATATTATTATTAAAAATATCTATATAGATATAGGATTTAATTTAAAAACGAACGTATTGAAATCACATTATGGTTTACTATGATCTGCAATACATTACTGGTTGGCAATGCGTTTGTCAAAAGTATTTAAAGAATCCCTTCCCTTGCTTCATAAACTGCCATAATCACGTCGTCTCCTTTTACAATTAAATATTTTTGTCAAATTTCCTTGAGTTTAAGGAACACAAGCTCTTGAAGCCTCTCTGAATTTAGATGTCTCAATAGTTCTATATTTCCAATATCTTGTACCCCGTATCACCGCAAATAGCTATATTATTTGATGTGTGTAATTCACCATCGAACTTCTTTGTCAAAGCGCTATTGTCCTGTTACTTATTTTTAAATATATGTGATGTTGGAACAAAATACCAATATCACTTGATAATTTGAACCTATGTCTAATGTACAGGACAAGTTCGTAAAATTCTTTTTTAACTCAAAAAAAAAAAAAAAAAAAAATTTAACCACGTCGAATGCGTTAAACAAAATTTACCCTCTTTGAACGATTATTAAAAGTAACCAGGATCTTGGAAATAATAAGGATAAAATGAAAGGTATTGAGGTAAAATTCCCGAAATATCTTCCTTTGCTTGAATAATTATCCGTCAGCCCTTTTGACAAACATAACCCAAGGATCCGCAAATATTTCGAAAGCCTTTGAACGCTACCTTAAAGATTTTAAATTCAAGCATTGAATGACCGCTAAGCATAATCCTTCGGTGAAGGTGCCTAAAGCTAATTTCTTTAAAGTTGAAGCACTTGAAACCTTATTATATCAAGTCTAAAGCTTATATCAGGTATCACTACGAATTGAATATCATTGGTTTATCTCAAAGGAGGGATTTTAGAATAATCACGAACGTCAGGTTCTAAGAATCTTAGGATTTCTAAATTTGGACAAGAATTTAAAAGTTCCGCTAACTTTTCGTGAAAATGTGTGAGACAAATAAAGGAGAGTGATCTCAACTATTGACTTTGACCTTCTTTCTAAATATTTTATATTATGAGCATATTTTGTTATCACGTTAAAATTTTCAACCAAGGTAACTAGTTCCGTAATTATAGTACTTCCCTGTAAATCATGAATGATTTTGCAAGTTTGTAGTCTCGTTAAAGCATTCGAAGGTTCTTCAAAATACGCTATATTTTGTGTATAAGCAAAGAAGATAATATAAAGGCTATCTAATCCATTACATCTTCTGAACAAAATATCTCCAATCGCCTT